ACTGCTATTTTTAACATATTTTTAGGTCCGACGTGTTGCTACCAGACGGACAGTGAGCACGACTCGTGAGATCTACCCTGCGCTGAAGTCGTACAGTTTGAGCTGAAGCTGTGTTACGAGTGAAAAAGTCGCACAGTGTCCGCCCAGCTTATTATAATGTTCACTGTAATGCATCTTGATGTTCTTAACAAACAAATTAAATAAAAGATATTGGTCAATAATGCCAAATATGTAAATTTGTGTTTCAGTCATTTTTATACTGGCTTAAAAATACTTCATTAAGTCTACTAAGCAGGGGTGTAGAACATTTTTAATAGGGCCAGCCCAGTAATGATCTTGGAGCAAAATAAAGGGGGCAGAGAGTCAAATAAAGGGGGAAAAAGGAGATGTTTTTCCAGACGCCAAGAAAAATTAAATGCCAAATCCACCTGCAAAGTGTGTCACTGAGAGTTTAAAACAGAAATTATTCTTGTGCAAATATTGGTGTACTCACCTTTAATACTAGTTATTACAATGCAGCAGTCGCTGGATTGGTGCAGTTCAAAGTGGAGTACATCAAATAAAACAATATTAACATAAAGCTGAGATGTCCTCCAGCCCCCCCCCCCCCCCCCCCCCCCAACACCACCTCCACCACAGCTGGAAAAATTCCTAGGGGAAACACTGGAGCGGGTTGTCCAGTTATCAGAAGGTTGCAGGTTCGATCTCAGCTCCGACCAGAGAATGCTGCTGTTGTGTCCTTGGGCAAGACAATTAACCCGCCTTGCCTGCTGGTGGTAGTCAGAAGGATCGGTGGCGTCTGTGCTCGGCAATCTCGCCTCTATCAGTGCACCCCAGGGCAGCTGTGGCTACATCATAGCTCATCCCCACCAGCGTGTGAATGTGTGTGGAATGGGTGAATGACTCATTATGTTGTGAAGTGTCTTGGGGGGTTGCAGAACCCTAAGAAGGCGCTATACAAATACAGGCCATTTACTATTTGTTTCATCATTTCCTGCTTCTATTACACAATTCAAGCCTCATACATGATAAAGCCGTTTTCCAATAATGTTAGAGCCTACTGACGCCTTTGATCAGCCAATAAGAGTGATTGCACGGATTAAAAAAAGTCAACGTTCAACAGAAGCAACAATTTATTCCAAAGAAAAGACAGGGCTGAACTATATAGCTTAAAAATAAAACGGCAGACTGCCAATTTTTAACAGATTTTTCTAGTTTTTGTTTCTTAAACGGAAATTACAAAGGAATAAATATATTTTCAAAAACTTGTTTTTATTTCAATCGTTCCTTTTGGAATTCAAAATCCAACTTAACACATTCATGTAAAACAACACGATAAGTGTTGTGGTTATAAATAGGGATATTCCGATCACAGTTTTTTGCTTCTGATCCGATTCCAAGTCATTTGATTTTCAGTATCTGCTGATACCGAGTCCCGATACGATACTTCAGCAAAGCTATAAAATAAGAAGAAAAAGGGAAAACACGTCCAAGTTTTTCTTTAATTTTTTATTATTATTATTTAGGTATTGCTTTCTTTCTGTATTTATGCCATTTCCTTGGTTTATCCGCCAAAACACTTGTTTAGGAAGTACCTTGATTAAAAAAAAGGTTAATATGAATATATTAAAAGGTAGTGGAGTTCCTCACATTTCAAATGGTTTGCGTCCTCTTTGTGCGTCTGTGAAGTGCATTCCTGTGACAGCGCCACAGCCAGCAGGCTAACTTTTATCTGCACTACACCAGTGTGCAGACGGGACGTAGACTGAGCTGCCATCTTGGAAGGGTCTCAAAACGCCCCCAGTGCATTAATTTCTACTGAAGATGTTTACTCAACTAAAAAACATGTTATTATCATTTTTAACAAAATCAGAAATATGGTATGGCGTGGTAATTAAAATGTTGACTCCAGTTGAGAGTGAGACAAACACCCAATATGGTGGCCACGCTGTTCTAAAAACACCTAATGGCGCATCTATATTCATGTCTATGATGGTGCAGTCGGCTCTGGTGCTGCAGAGTGAGAAAACCCAATGTTTTGCTGTCTGGCGTAAATTAGTTTATTATCATATCTTTCACTGTTGGCTGGCTCCGTGTTTCTGTTAGAAATGTCGCTGTGAACTGGGACTTATAATGATTTGCTGTGGCAACGCCTGAAGGGAAAGAAGCTAAGAGATAGAGAAAGAGAAAGTAGTTGTTTTGAAGGCATCTTATAATGCAGCTGTCTTTTCCAGCATGTTAAATGCCCAGTATACACACTTTACAAGTGGTTGATAGACTACCTTAGCTGTCTGGTGTAGAATACCACCAAAATACAGACATTTTAGCTCTTCTGTGGTTACATGTTAGCTCTGCGTTAGCCTATTAGCGAACAGCTGCATATTATGGTGTCTGAATCCTTGCCTGTGTGATGTAATGGTGTTTTTTTTCTTACAAGTACTAAAGAAGAAGAAGAAAAGATCTTTTGAATAGCGTCTCTCAAGAGAAAAATCACAAGGCATTTCACAAAAACAAAAAATAATAAATATTAAAAAAAATTAAGAAAATTATTAAAAATATATTTAAAATGAGCAAAATTAGACAATTGTGATTTTAAAATGTACATAAAGATAGAGTGAGTGAATAGGAAAGAGGGAAATCAGTGGATCATGAGGAAGGTGGAATAGGTAGGGAGAGCAGAACAAGGAGAGGGTGATGAAGGTCACACCAAAACCAGCTTGAACAGGTGAGTTTTCATCTGCTTTTTAAAGGAGACCGTTGAGTCCACTGATCTCAGGCTCAGGGGGAGACAGGTCCAGAGTCTGGGGGCACAGCAGCAAATGATCTGTCACCTTTGGTCTTTAGCCTGGTGCTGCACAACCAGTAGGCTTTGGTCACTGGACCTCAGGGACCTGCTGGGGGTGTAGGGACTGAGAAGATCACCGATGTAAGGTGGTGCTTGTCCATGTAAGGCCCTCTAGACCAGAACCAGGATCTTTAAATGAACCCTGAAGTTAACCGGCAGCCAGTGAAGCTGGAGGAGAAGCGGGTTGATGTGGGTGTGTTTGGAGGACTTGGTCAGAAGCCGAGCACAGGCATTTTGAACCACCTGTAGACGGTTCAGGGAGGTTTTGCTCAGACACATGAAAAGAGAGTTACAGTAGTCTAAGTGTGAGGAGATGAAGGTGTGGATAACAGTCTCAAGTTCAGAGCGGGACAGAATTGGACTCAGCTTTGCAATGTTCCTGAGATGGAAGAAGGAAGAGCGAACAAGAGAACTGACATGAGAATCCAGGGTGAGAGCTGGGTCAAAGGTCACGCCAAGATTCCTGACAGAGGGTTTGGTGTGAGAAGCAAGCTGACCTAGAGAGTCTCTGACTTTGGGAACCAGCTTGTCTGGGGCACAGATGAGGATCTCAGTCTTATCTTCATCCAGCTGTAGAAAGTTCCCAGCCATCCAACAATACTGATGTAGAGGCACTTGTTGGGATTAAAACTATTCCATTGTTGTTCTGTTTGAACATCTCTATCTATGGATGAATTTAAAGTCATATTGGTTGTTTTATAAGGTTAAATCTGATCTTTTTCACGATTCACATTTTTTGAAAATCACGTGATCGGGGTCAATTTCCGATCACGTGATCAGAACGGAGCAGTGTTTTTTGGGGAAAAAATATTCAAGCAGACCACTTTATGCATTGTCAGATAAGTGCGACTGAACTTCTGAACTTCAAAAGGCAAAGAAGTGCACAAGAATCCAGATTTTTCCAAAATTAAATTTAGGGCTGTCGCGGTAACCGCAAAAATGAAATATCGCGATATGAAGAAGCCCACCGCGCTGCATCATGCGCCACCGCGATTACTGAACTTGGTTCAACTCAGTGATGCATGTTGAGAAGGATGGCTGCACTGGTATCAAAACGAAACGTTACTTCGCTCCTTTGGGAGCACTTTGGTTTTCAGTACGTCAGCTGCTGCGCAGCCAGGGTCCTTGGCCGAGACAGAGCTGCCACCAGCGGCAAAAATAAATAAATAAATGCTCGGAGACCTGCTGAAGTCCCGGACAAGCACTGCTTCTGCAGCCGTCCCGAAGAGAGTTTGAGCCGAGCTGGAGCTCACTCGCTACCTGCAGGAGGAATGCATCCACCCTAAAGAAAACCCCCGTGACACGGTGGAGCAACAACCGGGAGAGATTCCCTTTGCTCGCCAGAGTCGCACGCAGGTACGTGTGCGTTAGTGCAACGAGCGCACCATCTGAGAGGGTTTTCAGTGTTGCTGCAAATGTTGCCACCCCTCTCAGATCCTCTCTCAAACCGTAGTTAACATGCTGGTTTTCCTTGTAGGTAACAAGGACGTGACCGAGCTATAAATCACCGTCATTCGTGTGTGTGAAAGTGAAAGTGAAATGATAGTGCGCCCGCCCCCCGGCGCGCGCGCGCCCGGTACATGTAATTTTTTATGCTTGATTTTAAACAACTAAACAAAATGGGGACTTGTTTCTTATTTGTTAGATGCTGCAGCCAAATTTGCATTTAAAAGTTTAACCTTCTCCTGAATTTTGTTGTTTTTAAGTTCAGTCGGACTCCGACTGTCGGAGAAACAAGCGTTACTGCGATTTGTGTTGTTACTGCCCTTTGATCTGCATTCAGTAAAGTGTTATTAAAGAAGGCACGGCAATTTTTAACCTTTTTTAAATGTGTAAACATTATGTTTAGATAGTACTGCAATAAAAAAGGGCTGCAATAATATCGCACACCGCAATATTAAGCCACCCTGAATCACCGCAGGGGGAATTCCTCAACCGCGACAGCCCTAATTAAATTGCCATAAACTGCAAACTCCAATTAATGAATAAAAACCCAGCCCGAACTGTCAGCCTTTAAGTAAACATGTAGTCCCAGTGGTTAGTGCACAAACAGAACTTTCAGTGACTATAGAACGTGGAACTAAATACAAGTTATTTTGTCCACCCTGAAAGGTTAGACAATCAAACTAAAATCTAAAATAACTTAAGTTTCTACCTGAATCCATCGCCGACTGTGACGATCTCCACCTCGCTGTCAGTTGAGGTGACATTTATCTCCTCACTTGCAGGAACAGCAGGTGCTGGAGCTGGCGATGCCTCGATCACCACCACGTCCTCATCTAGAGCACCTGAGGTTAGTAAAACAGGTAAATACACAATCATAGTTGTTTCACACTCGTACAGCACGTTCAACATTAGCAAATAGCTAGAACACAGTTTCTTCTCACTCACAAAATCACACAAAAAAATCATAAAATCTGATCTTTTTTAATTACGAGTTTTATTAGAAATTAAGCACTTTTCTTCAATAAATTCCAAGTTAATTGGTTAAAATACCAAATACTCAAAGGGATTTCCCTGTGGTGTTAGGCTAGACCAGTGGTATTCAATTCCAGACATGGAGGGCTGATATCCAGCATGTTTTGGTTTTAACTCCGTTTCAACACACCTGATTTCAACCAGCAGGTGATTAACAGGCTTCTGCAGAGCCTGATAAGCTACTGCACATTTGATTCAACCACCGAATGAAGTGTGTTGGAGCAGAGAAACCACTAAAACGTTCTGCATACCAGCCCTCCAGGCCTGGAATTGAATACCCTTGAGCTAGACCAAGATTTTTATTAAAAATTAAGGGATTTCCTGTAATAGCTTCCAAGTAAAATGATCAAAATACTCTAAACCATTTCTCAATGGGGTTACTACGCTAGACCAATGAGACAGTAGTTATTTATTAAATTTTTCTTTTTTACAAACTTCATACAACCTGATCTTTTTTAAGGTTCTCATTAAAAATAAGTGATTTTCTTCAATAGCTTCTAGGAAAATTGAGCTAAATCCTCAAACCCAACTCCCAACTGCGTTACTAGACTAAATCCCCCCTGGACAGCCCACTACCACATGCCACAGTTTAAAAAAATCCTAGAGGAAACCCTACGAAGGTTAAATTTTGTGAGCTATAGGACACTATAGCTGTTTTTACTAAACAATGCCATCAATTTTTCGTAATGCTGAAGCGGCATGAGGAAGCCTTTGGTCATTTATAAGTGGCGATAATGTTGCAAAATCATGTCCTTTTCATAAAAGATTACTCGATGGAGGCATAAAACGGGTATGGGGGCGGTTTCTGCGCTGCCGCGAACTTCCGCTTATCTCGGTCATAACTTCATATTTATTGCAACTGCAGCCGTGCTCATTACAATTTTTTAACAAGCCACTCCTAAAGATGTCTGTCCCCCAAAGTCCCTGTGCAGTCTCTGGTGATCTGAGGTCCAGTTCTAACTGCGAAAAGCTCCAGATTATCATCTCAGCTGACTCAGTTTACAAAAGTGAAAATTATGGCCCATTTTTACTTTCATTTTCAATATAGTTGCCGGCCGGGACTCAGCAGTAACACCCCACGTGATCATGACACCTCCCTCTGTTGCGCCAAGGCACGATCGTCATTAATAAGACAATTACTGCAATATTATTACCAAGTGAGGCGGAACGAACGCCACAATATTTGCGCATCGCTATGCTGTCATGGCACATTTATAAGACACACCGTTGGGGTAATATTACGCTGATTTGAACGCACGATGGGTCGTGTAAAAAGGGCTTATGCTTCTGGGATGCGTCAGACGTGCTGCTCTGCCCCTGGTGGAAACCAACGCATTGACTATAGCAGCGGTTACTGGCTACGCATTACGCTTCACCGATGTCACACAACAAATACAAGTTTGGTGAAAAGCCGGGGCTATCTGAAATGTTTCTTGACTCAAAATTTCATGCATTTGTTGTTTTTTATTAGACTTCAATTAACAGTTCAATACAAATAGTTATTATAGAGTAGGGCTGCACGATATTAGGAAAACTTGCGATATTCGATAACAGTGCTTAATATTGCGATATCGATATTACTCACGATAAATGAACAAATACTAAAGTATGCAGTGTTGATGTCGTCTGGCGTGTGACGTCTGCTCTGGGTTCAAAGCAAACAAAAACTAATGCATGAATTCCATTACAACATAACATTTTTATTGCAAAAATATGCAGCTGCACCTGCTACTGTATTAGCAGCAAAACAACAAACTGCATGCATGCAGTTTCTCAGTGACTTTAAAACATCACCTCCACCATAAAACTTTTTCTGATGCTCCAAATACAGAAAAACATCACTTACCAGGGTTTTTTGAAAAAATAAAAATATCTGAAAATAAGTTTAAATGTTAAATAATAGTTAACATCACTTAAATGCAACAGCTAATTCTCTCATTGCTACTGAACATTTTCTCCACTTATGTGGTTATGATATAAGGCTGTTGCTGCAATTGGGAAGTGATCTGTGCTGGGCCAAACTAGGAGAAAATTAAGATTTTTTTAGGGAAAGAGAAAAACAATTGTCTACCTTTCAGAAGAGGAACTGGCAAAAAAACTACATGTAAAATATGTGAAAACGTTTGGTTTTAACCCCAAATTGAACAAGTTTACCTAGATCTTAAAAAGCAGCTCAGATGATGAAACTGCAACTATGATTCTGATAACAAGCTAACAAATTGAACTAGCTCCTCTTAAGATAACCAGCTAGCAGAGCTTCTGACTGACAGTTTATGTGCAGCAGCAAATCAACTATCCTGATTAACAAGGTTACAAAAGCTCATAAATGAAAAATCCCTTTGATGTGTGGGGGAACTTTTCCAGGCCCTCTTTAGCAGGGTGGGACTGGGAGGAGAGTGCTGTAGCCTTTTAGCTGGAAGCTAACCGGAGCCTGGGGCTAACACTAGCGACATGAAGGTGGGCTGGTTCACCGGCACGTGTCGGAGTCAGCCCGGTAAAAATGATTAACGACACCGAGCGGAGTCACGTTCACATTTGAAAGCAGCGCTGATTCCAGAAACATCAGCACAAAGTGCGTTCGTTGCTCTGAGCCAGCATGACGAACAAGGGAGCGGCGCAGCAAACTCTTCGGGTGTTGCGTTCCAAAAGGGTCTATGTAGGGGGCGGGCGTATTACGTGAACGGACCCATCTGATTGGCCGCATATCAGAAGGACTACATTTGATTGGTCAAATAATACTTCCGAGTAAAAAACAGAGCTGGTTTACAAAAAGCTGATGTATGACACGGATGGAAATGTTTGAACCAAACATTTATCGCTGTTTTTGCAGTGTTTTGCGATGGGCTTATCGCACGTCCTGTTATTGCGATGATGATAATTTTTCGATATATTGTGCAGCCCTATTATAGAGTTTATTTTAGTTAGAGTTAAAAGTTATTACCTAAATAAATGCTTTCATATCAAACTATAGTTTTTGTCTAAACACTACATTTTCACGTACACGTGATCCCTGCAGGCATTTAATAAATCTTATCTATTTTAAAAACAGGACAGAAGCCATAAACTGAAAAGACAAATGTTGTCTTTTCCCAGACTTATCCACACATGCTAGTTACATAAATCAACTTCCATGCAACCCCCTCCTGGGTGCACACCCAGGCAGCATAGTCGCAGCCATTATAAGTCTTAGTTGTTTTGTTTTTTTACAGCTGCGTGTCTGTTTCTTATTATTGTCACAATCTCAGTGTAAGTGTGACTTGCTGACTCATGCACAGGATGCATGAGTCAAGCATCTCTAACTCGTATGCATGTTACTGTGATCGTCCACTATGCCACTGTCATCCTACATTGTGAGAAAGCTGTTATATTTGTGAACAGTACTAATCTGGTGACAATAAGGAAACACGTCTTTAACTTCATTATAAAATAAAGCCCAATATGAAATATTTATTCAAAATTAACAAAAACTAAAAATGCAGCTTACGTTGCATCCTAGCTAAGTTTAAGTGCACTTTTCAAGCATACTCTGTCATTGTGCACATCACTAAATGGTTTGTTCGTGAAGTTCATGCTTCCCCTTGGTGACTCTCTCATGAGAGCTGCTGCTTAGCACCCTCTGCAGATCTAGCTTCTTGCCCCTCCATGCACCAACACTAACAACACCTCCTGTTAAGCTGGTTAAGAGGTGCAGCCAGTGTGTGTGTGTGTGTGTGTGTGTGTGTGTGTGTGTGCGCGCGGCGTGCGTGTGTCACACAACACATAACACTAATATTCTTAACTTTAGCAACAGAACAGACTACAATGTAAAACGTGGTCCCTGCAGGCAGCCTGTTGATTAGTTGTTTTCACATAAAAGGACATGTTGTATTCCTGATAGCATCGCCCAACTGTGAGCAAATGTCACAATGTTTACCTCTTTAGCCAATTTTGAAGATTAATTCAAATCAAAACAATTATCTTTGCATATTTTACACTAAAGCCATACGATTTGTAGGTGTTATTTTGGTTGTTTTACAACTTTGCAATAATTTAGATGCTTTTGGGAACGTGTGACACACCCATTGAGGTACTGGACATCTAGAAGGCAGGTTTCATCACTTGCTTCTCAGCAGTAAACAAATACCATATTCTCCTCTGAGACCCAGTGTTTTTGTGCCAAGGCGGCTGCTCAGCAGAGTTTTCTCCCACCCGCCTCTTACCACACGGTGACAACAAATAACTTTCCATTTCTCCCTTGGGCCATAGCAATGGAAATGCTACAGGGGCTAAAAGGCTACAGAAAAGATAAATGAGCCAAGGTCAAGGTGGAGCTTTTATTTATCTAGAGCTTAAAATGAGAGCTCAGATTCAGGTTTGGAATGAAAAGCTGTGCAAACCTGCTTTTCCAATAGGTACCCAGAGGGCAGCTGTTGAAAGCAAGGGGTGCAGCTATAACTTTTCAGCTAACATTCATAACCCTTTTATCCAACGCACAAACCAAAACTTTAATGACCCTAGGATAGTCCTCTACTACCCCGCTGCATGAAAGTGAGCGGACATAACGTGTATTTTTATTACTACTACACAACAGAGTCAGACAGCAGAGCTGACACAACCAAAAGTGTGATGGTCTTCACCTGGGGGAGTTGAGTAGGACTACATGATACGAACCAAGGAAGCAAAGTTGTTTGTGACCTCAATCAACAAGGAAAACTAAATAAAATGTATACAGTAAGTGACAGTAAGGGGAAATTAAAAAAAAGAGTTAATTCATATATAAAAGTACCTCGGTCACAACCTTTTTATATAACTAATCAACATCGCCGTGCACTGCACAATATGTTGACCTATTCTCTAACATTAGTCGTCACCATTTCCCCGTCTCAGTGCATATGAATGCAATACTGCCTTAATGTGTTTCAGATTAAATATGATAACTGATGCTAGACTGTGTTGTTCCTGCAGTGGGGAAGACCGTGATTTCTGTGAGATTTATGCTTGTTTCTTGATTTTAAAAACCTTCTTTTACACAACATAAACAACAACAATGAATGCACATGACAGAAGATAATAAAGCTGTGTAGTTACCTGTTGCTACAGTAGCACTGTTGGGCTGGCTGCTGGTGCTGCTCACATCTACATAAAGCTCATCTTCCACCTCAGTGGAAGACGGGGAGGATGAGTCGCTGCTAAGCTCTTCACTGGAACTACTACTACTGTTGAGCAGGGCATACTTCCTACTTGCGATCACTTCACGTTTCTTCCTCTGCAGCAGCAATCGCTCCTTCTGCTTTTGAGTCCGCGGACCTCCTCCTGGAGCTGTTTTCACAAAGCGTTTCCTCTGCAGAGGCCGCCGACTGCTCAAACACTGCCGCTTCAGCAACACGGGCTCTGCCTCGGGCCGCACCCACTTATGGGAGCGACCACCACGAGTTCGACTCAAACTAGGACGCAGGCTAACTTCAGTGGCTCCCCCTGTAGGAAGGGCAGGAGCCTTATGCTGGCCTACTGATGCTCCAGCTTCTCCCTCATCATCTGAGCTCAGAGTGTCCGAGTCCCCGAATCGAAGGCTAGATGATGGAGAGGAAGCACAGTCACTAAAAGAGGACTCGTTATGTTCATCCTCACTGGGATGCTGTAGAAGGTCTATTCTGGCACGCTGAGGTGCCAGTGGATCCTCATTGATGTGGTCCTCCTTTAGCGAGCAGTCTGACGGCCCGGCCTGCTGGCCTTTTCTTTTCCTACGTCCAGGCAGGCTCCTTTCTGAGTCCCTGTGGGTCCCTGTGTCTCTCAAGGGCCGGTGCCTGGACTCACACAAGGTTTCAAAATCACTGCCTGCCTTTCCGAGGACCTCCATGTTGTTAGGGAAGTTCTTGGCTCCCTCCATGGACTCTGGGTTTACCAGTGGCTCCTTCAGGTGATCCCGTCTGCTAGTGGCCTCAGATGGCACCTCACTCTTCATGGTGGCAGGTCTGTCCTCGCAGGGCAAACACCAAGCACACTCACGTTAGTCGCTTCACTTCGTTCCACTACATTTCATAAAATCTAGGAAAAATGGGAAAAAAGAAGCAGTCAATAGATGGAAAGACCTCTCACGATGGCAAGAAAACAACTAAAGAATGTCACGTGCTTCTTATAAAACATAGTCTGATAATTGGGAGTTCAAAGTTAATACTTCTCATCTTTAACCAAGTGATCAACAAGACTTGATAAATGACCCGCACTTGTATCACGCCTTTCAGAGTCAGAGGACTCCTAAGTGTTTTACGGTGTATCATTCATCTACTCTCACACACACATTCACACGCCGATGGTGATGAGCTACAAAGTAGCCACAGCTGCCCTGGGACACACAGACAGCACAGGCGTCACCGGTCGCTCCGACCTCCACCAGCAGGCAACTGAGGTTAATTGTCATTCCCAAGGACACAACAGCAGCAATCTCTGTCTGGAGCCAGGATCAAACCTGCAACCTTCCGATTTCTGGACAACCCGCTCAACCTCCTGAGCTACTGCTGCCCCCCACATGTAAACCTTTAGAGTCAAACTATAACACGCCCAAAGCATTCCCTCCTGTTGGTAAATATAAGGCTATATGTTCACTCACAAGTCATTCTGCCTATTAGTACACATTTGGGGGCTGTGACTCAAGGTTGCTGATTATAGAGAGAAAACAAATACCCACGGGCTGAGTCAAGAGTAAGGGATGAGTCATTGCCGATCAGTTTGCTTCTTTGTTGATTTCCAGGAAGTGTGTGAATCAAACCAAATAAAATGGGATATAAGAAGAAGAAAGAAGAAGGAAATATCATTTCTATAGCACCTCTCAAGATAAAAATCACGAGGCGCTTCACAAAAACAAAAAATGTAGAAATATTAAAAAGAATTTAGAAAATGGTTAAAAATATATTTAAAATTAGCAAAAAATAGACAATTGTGATTTAAAAAATGTTATGAAAGAGAGAGTGAATGGGAAAGAGGGAAATCAGTGGATCCTGAGGAAGGTGGAATAGGTGGGGAGAGCAGAATCAAGAGAGAGTGGTGAAGAAGGTCATACAAAAGCCACTTTGAACAAGTGAGTCTTCAGCTGCTTTTTGAAGGAGACCACTGAGTCCACTGATCTCAGGCTCAGGGGGAGACAGGTCCAGAGTCTGGGAGCCACAGCAGCAAATGATCTGTCACCTTTGGTCTTTAGCCTGGTGCTGCACAACCAGTAGGCTTTGATCACTGGACCTCAGGGACCTGCTGGAGGTGTAGGGACAGAGAAGATCACCAATGTAAGATGGTGCTTGTCCATGTAAGGCCCTATAGACCAGAACCAGGATCTTGAAATGAACCCTGAAGTTGACTGGCAGCCAATGAAGCTGGAGAAGAAGCGGGAGGATGTGGGTGTGTTTGGAGGACTTGGTCAGAAGCCGAGCACAGACATTCTGAACCACCTGTAGACGGTTCAGGGAGGTTCTGCTCAGACACGTGAAAAGAGAGTTACAGTAGTCTAAGAGTGAGGAGATGAAGGTGTGGATAACTGTCTCAAGTTCAGAGCGGAACAGAATGGGACTCAGCTTAGCAATGTTCCTGAGATGGAAGATGGAAGAGCGAACAAGAGAACTGACATGAGAATCCAGGTTGAGAGCTGGGTCAAAGGTGAATAACCACCATGAAAGTGATTCTCTTGTTTATGTCATGGCTTAAAGATAGTATGGATTATACACACAAGGTGACAAGTATACTTCAAAAAACAACAGTCATTTAAAATAACTTTTCAAAATTTAATTACTGTTAAAACACTAAACATTTATCTTATAAAATATGTGTAGCTTTAGAAAACTCAGATGTGATGGGAGGCTAAAAGTGGTGTTAGCACTGATTGGGATTACAGTATATACAGCAAGTATATTTTAAGAGTAAGAAAAGAAAACTAAAGTGTATTGGAAGTCAAACTGGAAACAAGTTTTAATGAAATTAATTATTAATGAAGATACATTGAATTAGAACAGGTTTTTTTTTCATTTTATACCAAATAGATTCAGAAAAAGGGTTGGGAACAGTGTTTGTCCTTGTGAAAGGCTGCAGTGAGCAAAGAAGCTAAATATCACATTTAAAAAAGGTTCTTTGCCAAGTTGCCTGTTATGTGTCAACACAACACTGGTTTAAGAGCATTTTTGAGCCTGCAGGATTCCTTGGTCATTGGTCAATGGCAAATTTGGAAAACAAATTAGCTTAAACATATTTTTCATGCCTCTTAACAACATTCTGACATAGTATAGCTGTAAATATATTGAGATTAAAAATAAATGAAAAAAAAAAAGAATGAAGTGGTTCTCCCAAGTGGAGGAGTTTAAGTATCTCTTGTTCTTGGGGTCTTTTTGAGGAGTACGGGACAGATGGAGCATGAGATCAATAGGTGGACTGGTGCTGCATCTGCAGGGATGTGGGCGTTGTACCAGTCTGTCGCGGTGAAGACATTTCTGAGCCGGAGGGCGAGGCTCTCGATTTACAAGTCGATCTACGTTCCAGCCCTCATCTATGGTCAAGAGCTTTGGGAAGACACCATAGAATGAGAATACGTCTACAAGTGGCCAAAATGAGTTTTCTCAGCAGTGTCTGTACTCTCCCTTGGAGATAGGGTGTGAGGTTTGGTCATCTGAGAGGGGCTTGGAGTAGATCTGCTGCTCCTCCACATCGAGAGGAGCCAGTTGAGGTGACTCAGGCATCTGATTAGGACGCCTCTCTAGTGAGGTTTTTTGCTCTAATTAGGCTGCTGCCTAAGTTTATCCTGACCCCGGATAAGAGGATGATAATGGATGGATGGGTTCTCTCACATTTGTCTAAAAACAAACCAAAACTAACCGCACGCTCCCCTTCTGCTGATACTGACGAGGAACGGTGGCGAAACGACCCCTCTGCTGATACGGACAAGGAACGGGAGCGAAACGATCAGTGCTCTCCCTCAAAGAAGACAAAGTGGGAAGTATGGGCATTTTTTTTGGATATTTGAAGAATGCCGAGGGACAGTTGATAGAAGACGGCTATCCTGTTTGCAGCACGTGCAGGAAAAGTGTCTGTGAAAGGCAGCAACGCTTCAAATCTCATGAAACATCTGCGTGACCATCACCCACAACTCTACAGTCAACGCAAGGCAAGTTAACGTTAGCGTTTTAGCTAAAATGCGTGATCCGAGGATTTGGGTTGAGGGAGAATGCAACGAGTCGCTATATAAAGCAGCCGCAGCGCCGCTACCTGCATATAAACCGTGTCGCAGACACCCCTATATTGAAATGACGCTATGCATTACGGGGCTCCCAGGGGCAGATAAGAGTTGGTCTCTCTCCAAGAATAATTATGAATTTAACAATGATTACTGCCTGATGACATTTTCCCAAATCTGCAAAGCTCACTGGAAGGACACAAACCGAGGACAATATTTTCCTGATATAGGGTTTATTACTCAAGAAAGGGAAAAAAAAAGTATCTGATTGGAAGGCTACTTGAGTACTGAGTATCATCTGATCTAATATTTTTAAACAATGACATCAAACAGACAAAAAATAAGAAAGTTATGGGTAAATATTGGTATTTTAAATACTAAAGGGGAAAAATGTAAACAAAATTGCCTTCCATTGCTATGCAGACGATACACAGATGTATCTCCTGCTAAAATAAAAAGATGGTTGCAGCATAAAATCTCTAGCGGTTTGTTTGGATGAGGTAAAATCTTGGGATGCCTTTTAACTTTTTACATTTTAATGAGAAAAAGACAGAGATAATTGTCTTTGGTACTGGTACCTCCAGCAGGCCCACTTCTATGGACTTAGGCCCCCTAGCTCTGCACAGAAAGCCAACAGTGACCAACTTGGGTTTTAAAATGGACAGTGATTTTAGGTTGGACAGTCAGATCAGTGCAGTGGTCAAATCCAGCTTCTTCCATTTGAGACAGTTGGCAAAGTTGAGGCACATTTTGACTAAAGACGATTTTAAAACTGTAATCCATGCTTTTATTACAACTCGTCTGGATTACTGTAACTCTTTGTGTTTTGGTATGAGTCAATCGTCACTGTCTCAACTTCAGCGTGTGCAAAATGCTGCTGCTCGACTTTTAACTGGTACAGGAAGGAGTGAACATATCACTCCTGTTTTATCGTCACTGCACTGACTTCCTGTCCATTTTAGGGTTCATTTTAAACTTCTTTTATTTGTTTTTAAGTCTTTAAACGGTCTTGCCCCGCTCCACCTCTCTGAGCTATTGCAAATTCACTCCTCCTCTCGGTCGCTCAGGTCATCTGATCAGTTGCTCCTGGTCGTTCCAAGGATACAGCGTAAGCTCAGAGGGGATAGGGCCTTCGCTGTTGCTGCTCCCAGACTATGGAACTCTTTGCCGCACATGTTAGAAAGGCCTCTTCACTGGAAACTTTTAAATCATCTTTAAAGACCCACCTTTTTAGCTTGGCTTTTAACACCGTATAAAGATTGGATTTCTATTTGATTTTAGTGTTTTTGTCTTAGTGTGCTTTTAATTTTATACTGTATTCTATGTTATTCTGTTTTATGTTTTTATAATCAGCACTTTGGTCAGCGAGGACTGTTTTTAAAGTGCTTTATAAATAAAGCTGGCTTGGCAAATATACAACATAATTACAAAATAACAAATTTTAGGCTAAATTTAGACACAAACTGAGGACAATATTTTCCTGATATACAGGGTTTATTTAGTTGTCTGAAAATGCAGCACGTTTAGAAAAATACCGCGATAATACCTAAAACTGTGATAATTTTGGTCACAATAACCGTGAGGTTAAATTTTCACACCGTGACAACCCTGGCAGTGAGACAAACGCACCTCACACCGTCCAGTTTGTTCGTAAAGCTTCTATTAAATCCACCGTGTTGACGTATTTTAACAAGTTTCCTCTACGCTGCAGGAATTAAAGTTTACATTACGGAGTAAAAGTTCGGCAGACGCGTTTGTTTATATTTGGGTGGGGGGAGGGGGGACTCGTGCTGCACACAGACAGCTGGTGTGATCAGCTCTGAAAAGCGTTGATCACAATTTGTAGATCATGTTTGTTTATTTTTCATGGAGATCGGCCGCAGATTCCTCTTCTAGGAATCGAAACTAGGAATCGAAATAAAAAACTTAGAACGATTCCGGGAAAAGCTAACAGCTGGAAGCGGTTCCAATCGATGCTTGATGCCCAACCCTAATTCTAAGCAAACGTGTAGCTACAATGGAGAGGAAAACTCCCTTTTAACAGGAAGAAACCTCCAGAGCATCCTGCCTCACTATAAGCAGCCATCCATCACAACTCATTGGTGATTGAGAAGACAGAGCAGATACACACCGTTATCCCCCCACAAACCCACACACAAACAACATATATACAACGCAGTGTTTCTATGACTACAATGTGATTTCTTAGTAGATATTCTATTTAGTAAGATAAAATTTACTGTCTTTATCTGAGTGAATCTATAATTAATTTAACGGGTGAACTAGTAGTAGCACATTGCTAAAGAAAGAAAATATCAGTAGAGGGAGAATGTTAAGTGGTTGGCAGCAGTGGATAACTTCTTTGTGATTTTCTCTGGTGACATCACCCAGAAGAAGCCAACCACAATTTTTGGGCACAATATGATTTGAAAACAAACATACACCATCATTAGTTCTTATAGGCCATTCAGGAACAGAATGTACCCACATCAACCACATTGCTACCCAGAACAACAAGCAACATAATGAGAGAAAACAAAACCAGACTAACTGATGTTACTGTTTTTGTGCAGTTAGAACAAAATTCAATCATTGACAAATGTGAAGGTTTTTAGAAAATCCAGCTGTGATTCATTCTTAAATATCATCAAACTGAAGCTTAATATAAACAAAAGCTCAAATGCCAAACATGCCAACGATCCAACCGCTGCATTACATATGTGCCTGCACATGTTTTGTTACAAGCAAATGCTAAATATATCCGATGCATGTGTACTGGGACGAAAAACAAAGGAGATGACTTTAAAACTACTGCAGAATTGATCACATCTGGTGTTGCCTCAATAAAAATCGCATTTTCTAAAGGGTATTGGACTTCATTAGTATGTAGATTTGTGCATGATCTTAATGTGTTTTGCAGTGTGCTTGTCAGTTGCTACGAGTGGAGGAAAAGCACAACTGGCAATGTCATATCTTCCTTTTTTTCACAGTCTTTCATAACAACATGCAGGTTGTCACTTGACCCTGAAGATGTGTCTTCTGGGGAATGGGATGCAAGGACCATGCTGCTATCAGGAGGTGATCTGAGCCTGACAAGTTGATCCCAAATGTATTGTGCACCAATAAATAGCATACCCAGTGTTTCATTTATTTATTTTATATCCTCTTTAATGTAAAGTGAGAATCCTGAGGGAAAGCTGCGCAATGACATGAAGTCAGGGGGCCTCAGCGGACATCCCAGGAGGAGGAAAATAATCCCAAAACAGAAGGCTGAATGATAACATAGATTTACAACAACGAGCAGGAGATTGAGCTGCTACTGTCAAATAAAAAATAAGTCAGGGCCGCTAAACGAAGAAAAGTGTCAGAAAATAGATGGTAACAGTAAAAGATTCATGGGAAGCACGACTGAGCTTTTTCTAGCGAACCCCACAGTTCTGTCAAACCAACAGAACAGCACAAACACGATTAGATAGATTAAACTGGGTTGACAGGATCTAGTTGGAAACTAAGACTAAGCATAATTTCTACAACGTTTGGCAATGACAATTAACCCTGCTGCTGTCCGTCTGTCGTGTCCCATAAACGCAACTGACGTTCCGGAGGCCAGCAGAGCGAGAGGCATTAGGATTAAAACATACGTTGTTGTTGATAACGTTAAAATTATTTTACTAAGTAGATAAATCAAAGAAGACAGCTAGCAGTTTAGCAGGATAAACAGTTCAGACAGAAGATAAAACAAAGACAACACGTAAATGGGACTATGTCCTTGTTTTAAAATCGTCCTTCTCTGTTATTAGAGAGGTGAAATATAGAAGCAAGCGTTTTAAAAAAACGAGCAGGTATCTAGATGTTATACCAAACTGCAACTAGGCAGGCCTACTCTGACATCGCGACCGGGAGGAAGGCACAAGCAGGGATTGTGAAACAGACTACAGTCCCGAAGCAGAGCGGTGAAGCCAAATCGATGGCAGCAAACGGGCCCTGGTTAGCGAGAAGCTAAGCTAAAGCTAGCTACATTTCACTTCATAAATACTCGATTAGTCGCAGACATTTTGAATCTTTGCGAAAGCCTGCCAATATCTGTATGATAGTAGAAAGTATATGTTTGTTTATAATTGACAAATTGAAAATGTCTCACTGTTCGTCCTCGATGAAGTTCCCATTCCTGCCTTCCGTAGGCATCCACCGTTGTTTACCCAGCAGGTCGTTTGTTGGCTGGCTACTGCTACACGGTCGTTGCGCCGAAAACCTGAAGGGGGCGCCAAATCGTTGTCAGAGCACAGGGTCTTTACGACGCTTTCCGACAGCTACCGTTTCGCTCCTTTTCAAAGAGACTGTTCAGACCCCAGAAAATTTAAATGTGTTTTCAAGACGACTTTACATCATTCGTTTGTGTTTTTGTGTTAGTAAGAGACCGCAACAAATCTTCAATCGTAATGACAGATTCATAATCGTTCGGAATCTCATATATTCTTTCATATTCGTTTGTTTAATCTGGTGCCTTCTTGATTCTAAGTACTATGCCGCCCTCTAGTGGTTCTAGTGGCTCTCAGCAATACTTGGAAAAAAGGTGAAAATCACCAATGTCACTGCAAAAAATGTGCCTACATAAAAATAACTAGCAGCGTGAATATTTCCTCTGGTTTTAAAATATACTTTGTATTAACAACCATCTTTGCTACAATTTGTCTTAGAAGTGAAACATTTTCAGATTTTTGTAGAAAGACAAACATCCTAAAATTAATAGAAGCCTTTCAAGCAAATGCGATTACAAGCAGATTTTATTTCAGAAAAAATTTAAATGGATGTTTTATTGTTTGTTTTTCATATTCATATTTTATCTAAATAATATGTTCAGTCCAGAGAACACAATGCAACTCTTTCCCCTTGTTTGTTTTTCCTAAATGGTTATAAGTATTTAAGTTCACTTGGATTGGCAACATTCAAATTTTCTTCTTTACTTATTTAAAGACTTCACATAATAAAATAAGAATGGCTGTGTGTATTGTGTTTCATAACAAAATACACAAATTGTAAAAGTTGGCAAGTTATCGGAGATGTTTTTTTTCATTATTCCAAATTTTTTATAAACATTTTCTTTTTTGAGTCATTTCAGATATCTCCATCTCCCTCAAATGCTGTACTTTTTTAATTCTTCTTTCCAGGCTGACTGTAATCTTTATCACAACATTTTGCATCTACATCCCTACAATAAGTTTTTGAGTTCTACTCTCTTTAAGACCTTTGTCGGTGGCTGTTTTACATTTGTGTTAAAATACAGACACACTAACTAGCACTGACACAGTAAAACAGATTTGCTGGACATATTTGTGGCTAATCCTTAAAAGTTTAATTCTACTTACACATCAGTTGTAAATGTGTGTGTGAATGGGTGAATGACTGATTGTGTTGTAAAGTACCTAGGGGTTCTAGGACTCTAGGCGCTATATCAAACACAGGCCATTTACAGAAAAAGATAAGAAAAATGCAATACTTGTTATTTCGACCCAGCATAAAACCAATATTTGTCCACAAGATACTCATGTAACTTATCAAAGTTTGCTTGAACTTTTTTAAAATTTAATTTCTGACCAAAAAGGCTCTAATTGAATTAAAAAGTTATTCCTAGGGAGATATGTCTTGTCTAGGAACACCTGTTATCCGTGGTGTGGTTACACCAGTTAGTTTTTAAAATTAGTTTACATCATCGACATATACATATACATACATACATACAAACTCTCACGGGGAAACGACAGTAAATGGTAAATGGCCTGTATTTGATATAGCGCCTTCTAGAGTCCTGGAACCCCCCAAGGTGCTTTACAACACAATCAGTCATTCACCCATTCACACACACACACATTCACACTCTGGTGGGGATGAGCTACGATGTAGCCACAGCTGCCCTGGGGCGCACTGACAGAGGCGAGGCTGCCGAGCACTGGCGCCACCGGTCCCTCCGACCACCACCAGCAGGCAAGCTGGGTTAAGTGTCTTGCACAAGGACACAACAACAGTGACAGACTGAGCGGGACTCGAACCTGCAACCTTCCGATTACGGGGTGAGCACTTAACTCCTGTGCCACCGTCGCCCCAGTACAACATCGCTTGTGTTAAACCAGAATTTAGAACTAAAATATATCTTACAATTCAACAAAACAAAACAAAGTTTTCACACAAAAAAAACTGCCACAAAGAAAAGAAAAAAACCAACATTTTCTAGGCCATATTCTCACTTATTTGGAAAAATTTTCAAGCAGTGTGAATCTATTCTATGAAAAAAAAGAAGCTTTCTGGGTATCAAAGTTTTGACACATTCTTTAAAAGAATAAGTACTGGTTCATATTTTCACATATCTGGTCAGCATACTTGCATGAGTCTTTTAAAAGAGCTAAAGATGTATACAGTGATATCAGTTCAACCTTTAGGATGTTTATGGAAGGATTTTCATCACGTCATTTACATTTGTGAAGATGGTATTTTCCAACAAGTATAACAATAACACTCAGCATTTCAACTTCTTCTGACTGTCATCATACAAAACCTGTGTTACTGTCAGCGGACTCTTTCTGTTAATTGTTATTCCCATCCAGTTTAAATGTCCAGCCAAAAGTTAGATGTTACAGAACAAGAAAAAAACAAATGTTCAACACTCTTCTTCTTGTAAACAAAAACCACATGGTTTCACCTCAAAACCGAATCGTTTCTTATGCATTTGAGCTGCTGGGTAATATGCATTTATTATTTTAAATTGCATTTCCTTAATCTTTGGGGGGATAGGCTATTTGAAAAAGTGTATATATTTTTGATTTATCTTATTACATCCCTTTAGTTTTATGTTTTTGTTAAATTCATGAAATGAAATTTCGTTAAACAGTTTATTTATAGTTTTGTTTTAACACTTTTTATGCATTAAAGGAATCTGTTTTAACTGCAACAAAGGCAAGCTTATTTGACTTTGGGCATACATTAAATGATTTTGAATAAAATGCAACAAGGGCAAAGGGATCGCTTTACAAATTTTGTTGTATTCTCTAAGTGAACATTGGATATTATATTTTCCATTAAAAGCCTTTATTTCAAGACACTGACCTTTGAATCTAGTAAATCTGTAACAAAAATAATTCCTTTTTCATACCACTTATCTATAAATAATGATTTCCTATTTATTGTAATTGTCCTATTATTCCACAAGGTGGAGCCATCCATGGGGAGTGAAGTTATGATTAAACACCATCTTCCAGTAAAACAATATTTGTTTGTGATATTCTGACAGCTTGATAGGCAACCTCGATATGTCAAAATCACATTTCAAGAGGAACTCCAACCCTCCCACCTTTTTAAATATATTCCTTGGGATATGGAAGCATAATGAGTCAGGTTTTAAAAGATAAGCTTTTAGCCAATTTATTTTGAAAACTCCTACCATAGATGGGAAATCAATCGTCTAAATTCCTCCTTTAGTGTAGTCTTTAACCAGTTGTGATTTTTTCATATAGTGTGTTTTTTTGCACCAAATGAAATAATATATTATTGAATTAATCTTTTTGATAGATCTGCAGGGTAATATATAAAGAATATAATGATAGACCATCTTTGAGACACCTTCTGATTTAAATAACAAATTCTGTCCAAAAATTGTAAGATCTCTTGTTAACCAATGATTCAGTTTTTTAGACATCATATCAATTTGATCTTTCACATTTTTTGTCTCTCTAATTTTAATATATTTGTTTAAGTAAATTCCTAGATACTTAACTTCTCCTTTCACTGGAATGTCTTCATAATGGTTTCCAAACAATCATAGAGAGGTAAAACTTCACATTTCTTCAGATTTAAGTTCAAACCAGATGCCTTTGAAAAAACTGAAATCACATTTAGGGCTTTCTCCAATATTGATTAATCCTTCAAAAAAATTCCTGTGTCATCCGCAAATTGACTTATCTTAAATTCTGTATCAAATATGTTTATGCCTTCAATGTCCGGATGATTCACAATAAGGTGAGCCATCATTTGCGTGCAAAGAATACATAATTTTGGAGAAAGTGGGCAGCCTTGCCTAATTCCGAAGGATACATCTATTCTAAGGGTAATACCTGGGTTGAGAGAAATGTAACTATAAATCTGATTATAAAATAATTTAATTATTTAGCAAAATTTGTTTCCAAATACAAAAAAGTTCCATAGTTCTAAATAAAAAATCATGTCCTATTGAATCAAATGCTTTAAAAAAAATCAATGAATAATATTAAACTTTCTGTGTTAATAAAGGATCGGTTATCAATCATGTCTAATATTAGTCTTATATTGTTATAAATTTGTCTACCTTTAATTAACGCTGACTGACCTTCATCAGTTAATTTTGCTAAGATGTCCCTGATCCTGTTTGCATATACTAAGGCTAGTAACTTGTAATCAGAAGAGTTATGGGTCTCCCGCTATCTAACAAAAACAGATTTTTGTTTGGTTTTGGCAGTAAAGTTATTAGACCTGTTTTCATTGTTGGAGATGATTGCTCATTTTTTAAACAATCCACAAAAGCATTAAATAACATATCTTTAATATCTTGCCAGAACATCCTATAAAATTCAATAGTTAGGCTATCTATTCCAGGCGATTTACCATTTTTCATTTCTTCCAGAGCAATTTCTATTTCACCTAAATCTTCTTCTAACATTTTTTTATCTTCCTCATTCAATTTTTGTATCTGTTCTTTAATCATGTAAAAAAAATCTATTCTCTTTCGCAACTTTTTGCTTGTATAGATTTGCATAGAATAAGTTAATTTATTTAGCCATGTGGGTTGGGTTTTCTATTATGTTTTCATCTTTGTCTTCTTTTCTCTAGGCTATAAAAATATGCTGAATTTTTTCCCCCTTGCTCAATCCACTTTGCTTTGGATCTCACATATGCGCCTTTCGCCTTTTCCAGGTCTAAATCATCTAATTGTTTTTGTAAAGATTTTAAGCTTTCTGCCTCTTCTGTGGTTACATCAAGCTTACCGCTTATTAAATTGATTTGTTCTTTTTTTTTTTCTTTTTACGTATGCTTAAAGCCGATATTTTCTTTCCGGTTTCTATAGCTAATTGTTTAACACTAAATTTGAACCACTCCCATTTACTAACGTTCGACATCTCCATATCTTTAATTTCTAATTGAATATTTTAACTTGGGTACAGAATTCCTCATTCTTTAATAAATTGTTATTACATTTCCATATGCTTACCTGCTTTTCTTGTTTAATTACAACTAATGAAAGACTTATTAAACAATGATCCGTAAGTGGGGTTGTTTGGTTTTCACATTTGGTTATATATGCAGTTATTTTTTGAGAGACAAGCCAATAATCCAATCTTGAGCATAATCTGTTGTTTGTTGGACTGAACCAAGTATATATTTTCATGTTTGGGTTAGTCATCCTCCAGTACTCAAGCAAATCAGTAGACATACTAAAATCACAAAGAATACTGTCACATTCTGGTTGTTTCCCTCTCGGTGGTTGCCTATCCAGCCATGAGTTAGGTGCCAAATTGAAATCACCTCCTGTTATAACCTTATCAGTGCTAGATGTAGTTCTCCACTGTTTAATTTACTTAAATTTGTCATCATGTTTCTATTTAGAGACCTATTATTGTACCCATATACATTGATAAGGAGCTTTTGTTCACAAAACTCTACTATTACCATGAGCCAATGTCCCTCTTCATCTCTTTTATGATCAATATTGTTGCCAGCAAAATTATTAAATAAAATCATTACTCCCGCAGAGTGAGCAGCACCATGTGAAAAAAGAATACCATCTCCCCATTCATGTTTCCAGAAAGTTTCATCATCACTACTAGAATGTGTCTCTTGTAAAAACAAAATGTTTGCCTTCATTTCTTTGCAAAATAAAAAAATGGCCTTGTGTTTCACTTTGTTTTTTAAGCCTCGAACATTTAAAGAACTTAGTTGAACAGGCATTTAAAGGTAAAAAAGATCAAGAAAACAACACAAGAACAAATTAAGCTTTTTCCTTCTACTCTTATTCTCTAGAAAAATGAAGAACTGTTTGTAGCAGGAGTAAGCATAAAGTCCTACTTGTAAATACAATATTCAGATTGTCATTGTAAAAAAAAACGTTTTTTTTTAAATTAGGAACCAGAAGTTTTTATCTACTTCCAGATTTACCTATGCCATTCCACTTTAATTATTTCTGCATGTACCTTATGGGTAGATTCTTTTGCCATCTATTATAGCAAACCCGTCTTTCAGGAATGCTCTTCTGCCGTTGGTTCGAGCCTCCAGCACCTTGAGCCACAGCTTGATCAGAGCTTCTCTATCCTCTTTGACAAAGTCCTCTTTAAAGTTTATGTGTAGTTCTTTGCAGACCCTGGCCTCTCTGGACTTCCTCCACACTTCATCCTTCGCCGTCCTCATGCTAAACTGAATGATGATCGGTCTTGGCAGCTTGTTGTTTGCAGCGTCGCCCTTCTTCCCTATTCGATGTACTGTATCCAGTCCACCATGAGCTGCAGCTTTTCCACTGACACAGGAATCACTCTCGTCAGGATGCCAATCACTCTCTCCCGTGTATTTTCATCCTCTTTTTATACCAGGTCAAGTAGTCTGAGGTCTCATCTTCTTCGGTATCTTGAGTTTTCCAGACATATTTCCTTCAGTTTTGTTTTCCTTCGTTAAAGCCTCCATCTTTGTTTTGAGCTTGTCTGTTTCCTTTTTGTTTTCTTCAGCTGCCTTTGTATTTGCCTCTATCCTAAGATCAAAAGCGTTCAGATTTTTGTCTAGCAGATCAAATCTTTCTTCAAATCTTTCTGTAAAGGCCAGCAGGGCTTCATAGATATTTTCATTGCTCACCTGTCTCCCGGTAGCTTTATTTTTCAGTTTTTTTTAATTGGGGTTTCTTGTTGGAATGTGATCACCAGTAGGTCTTGCTGCTATCTGTTGATGCTCCATCTCCTCTATGTCTTCGTCCACAAATGCTTCTTTCATTGCCGCGAGGTTGCAGTCATGGTCGGTTTGCTACTTTATCTGTCCAATAACTCTTCAAAAACTATGTTCCAGGGGTTCCGCTTTCCTTTCAGTTTCGTTCAGAATAACTGTTTATCAGAGAATTACTTCTCAGGACATTTAAAACCCACCGTTTTATCAGACCTGCCAAGTTTCCAACAGCTCACTCCGGCATCTTGAATTCACCCAAAAGAAGAAGAAGAAGAAGAAGAAGTAAAGACGAAGAAGAGGAAGAAGGAAGAAGAAGAAGAAGAAGAAATCTGTGTGCGCGCGCACTTTTCAGTTTGAGGTAAAATGGCGTCGGGTGCCATTTCAACCGAGTTTAAGAAAATTTCAGAATTAAGGGTTGTTGATCTTAAATCCGAACTCAAACGGAGGAATTTGGACACGTTTGGTGTGAAAAGTGTTCTGATTGCACGACTGAAACAGGTATGTGAAATTAAGCTGATTTCTGTTTTTCAGACATTTTAAATGAGCTACGCGTGCGATGCCGAGATGCTAATGCTATTGCTAGTAATGTTGCGACTGGTTTTCTGTATATTTACTCGCCAGACATGTTATTAAACTGCGCAGTGACCACCGTGTTTGTATTGTGCTTTTGCTTTAGTTTTTCCTCATCATTATTGTTACATATATATGGACTTGACTGAAAGAGATGTTTCGATGCAGCATTTAAAGGGCGCAGCAATGATGCAGATTAGGCGTTATACCAACTTTTCAACGCAAAAGAGGTTCTTATGTATCAAACTTTACATCTAAGTTGGCATACTATATCATTTACAGCGTTACCGTTTCAAATCAATTTGTAATTAGAAATAAATGCGCATCTGATGTGAATGGGTGAATGACTGTGTTGTAAAGCGCCTTGGGGGTTCCAGCATGTATGGCGGCTTGTGGTCTGTGAATTGACTTCAGCTGTAGAGAAATCAAATCGAGAACGTGGTATTAGCCAGTGTTAATGGACGTTTAAATACATTTATTCGCTTTGGGGTGTTTAAGTTATTTCAGCAGTTAAGTTGAGTTTGTGGATAGAGGAGTGTGGGTTTAATGTTTTGTAGGTTAGGAGATTCTGTGCATCACACTTTTTTTTTGTAATATTTATTATACTGTTGTAACAAGATTATTTTATCCCAATGCTAGCGTTTGCAGCAAGCTCAACAGTTATTTGCTTACAGATTAACCATTTGACCTCCCTGAAATCGTGTATTTTAAAAACAAAGAGGATTTTTTTTCTCTCTGTCATAGTTTGTTTGCAAAAGGATTATTTTAATCATTCCATATATTTTTATTTACCCTTACTACATATAGTTGACAAACTTCATAACACAAACAGCAAACATTTCTTTTTCTGACCCACATTCATGTTCTTGTCCACATCACTAAAATGAAATTGCAATTTTGTACATATATCTGAAGCACTTATCTTAGTTTAATCATGTGGCTGTACATTAATAGGGGGTATGATTTAAAATTACTGTCTAAAGGAGCTGTGTGCAACCCAACATGTAGAGCAGACATTATTGAATATTTTAAATACATTATGTAGAGGTCAAGTCCAGTACTCGAACTCCTGAGGCTAGACCGGGACCTGGTTGACACTCTGTGTTGATCCGATGTTGACTAATTTAATTACTTAAAAAACAGCCTTAAGCGTGGAATTGTTATGATAATGCTTGTTTAATGTTGATTGCATTCCAGGTGAATGATAGGAGTAATTGCTAACTTTCCCATTCAAACGTCTTCACGCCACAGCGGTCAAAAACCTGTTTGCTCTTCCGGAATAGTGCCTGACGCCAACAATGACATCACTACCTTTATTCCGATCAGTAACAATGACACGCCCACATATCAGTTAAGACATCGAGACCAAAGAAAAGGAAACAACATATTTGGCTCCTACACATTACATTAAGTGTACAGTGGAAACCCTGTTCAACTCTAACTCCTGTGGTAAGTTCTGGTTGTTGTAATAGAATCCAAACTTTAAACCTCTGTCTAACATGTTTTAGAGAGGAGAATTAAGGGAAGTTTACCCTCAATCATATATGTTGTTACATTCACTTATTATTGATAAATGACATGCACTTGTATATCACCTTTCAGAGTTAGAGGACTCCAAAGCGCTTTATACTACAGTGAATCATTCATCCATTCACACATACACATTCACACGCTGATGGTGATGAGCTACATTGTAGCCACAGCTGCCCTGGGGCACACTGACAGAAGCAAGGCTGCCGAGCACGGGCGCCACCGGTCCCTCCGACCACCACCAGCAGGCAAGGTGGGTTAAAGTGGGAGTCAAGGCGTGGGTGGAGACTTCTTTTCAACCAGACTTTCTGTTAGAAAAATACCTGGGGAAAAAGACGTTGCCTGGATGACTGAGAGGGCGGCACTGAAGCAATGATTGGCAGCACCCCCCTCAACACCCCTGAGTGCGCTCTTGTAGTTTCTCAGTCGGAAAAAAGAGTTGTTAAAAAGTGTTCGCGCACCCACATAGCAGACTCACCTATCAGGAGAAGATGAGACACAGAAACTGACTGCAGGAAAGAGGGTTTCCTGTTCACCTCCTAAATTAGAAAAAGGGAAGGAGGACATTTTTCTTAAGCAGGCGAGCAGCTCAGAGCGCCTACGTTTCATATCAGCAGGTGAGTGGTTGAGCCAGGTGAAGGTGTGGCGAGACTAAGCAGGCGTGCAGTGCAGCCACATAGTTCTGTACTGACGTCACCCTGCAAGCGCTACATCAATCAGCTGCGGCTGATTCTAAATCATTCTGGAGTAGAGTTTTATCAGCAAAAACAAGCCAATTTAGGTGTTACTCGCTCTTTAATTGTCTTGCTCAAGGAAACAAAAGCACAATTCTCTGCCGTGAGCCAGGATTGAACCTACAACCCTCTGATAGTTGGGCAACCTGCTTTACCTATTTCTAAACTCCATTTCCCAGTAGATGTGCAGTGTTTCCCCTAGGAATTTTTCCAGCTGTGGTGGTGGTGGTGGTGGTGGTGATGGTGGTGAGGGGGGCATTATGACACGTCTCACCTGTATGCTAATATTGTTTTATTTGATGCACTCCACTTTGAACTGCACCAATCCAGCAACTGCTGCATTTTAATAACTAGTATTAAAGGTGAATACACCAATATTTGCACAATAATAATTTCTGTTTTAAACTCTCAGTGACACACCTTGCAGGGGTGATTGGCATTTAATTTTTCTTGGCGTCTGGAAAAACATCTCCTTTGCCCCCCTTTATTTGACTTTCTGCCCCGCTTTATTTTGGTCCAAGATCATTACTGGGCTGGCCCTATTAAAAACATTCTACAACCCTGCTTAGTAGACTTAGTGAAGTATTTTTAAGCCAGTATAAAAATGACTGAAACACAAATTTACATACTTGGCATTATTGACCAATATCTTTGATTTATTTTATTTGTTAAGAACATCAAGATGCATTACAGTGAACATTATAATAAAGTACATTTTTCTAGTGCAGAGAGGAGACAACCCATAGAAGCACTGATTTGATCTCATTTCAGAGAAAAGTAGAACAGGTCAGATGCACCTAATAAATAAAATTACTAACAAACTCGGGAATCTGTTTCTTTGCTAGGGCTGTCGCGGTTGAGGAATTCCTCCTGCGGTGATTCAGGGTGGCTTAATATTGCGGTGTGCGATATTATTGCAGCCCTTTTTTATTGCAGTACTATCTAAACATAATGTTTACACATTTAAAAAAGGTTAAAAATTGCCGTGCCTTCTTTTATAACACTTTACTGAATGCAGATCAAAGGGCAGTAACAACACAGATCGCAGTAACGTTTGTTTCTCCGACAGTCGGAGTCCGACTGAACTTAAAAACAACAAAATTCAGGAGAAGGTTAAACTTTTATATGCAAATTTGGCTGCAGCATCTAACAAATAAGAAACAAGTCCCCATTTTGTTTAGTTGTTTAAAATCAAGCATAAAAAATTACATGTACCGGGCGGGCGGGGGGGCGGGCGCACTATCATTTCACTTTCACACACACGAATGACGGTGCTTTATAGCTCGGTCACGTCCTTGTTACCTACAAGGAAAACCAGCATGATAACTATATATGGTTTGAGAGAGGATCTGAGAGGGGTGGCAACATTTGCAGCAACACTGAAAACCCTCTCGGATGGTGCGCTCGTTGCACTAACGCACACGTACTTGCGTGCAACTCTGGCGAGTAGGGTTGTCACGGTATGAAAATTTAACCTCACGGTTATTGTGACCAAAATTATCACGGTTTTCGGTATTATCGCGGTATTTTTTAAACGGTGTTGCATATGTTCAGAAAGCATTGATAGTCCTGTTCTACACAAACTGAAATAGTTCTGAAAAGGTTTAACAGTGTTTATTAAACCTAAAATAACACAAAGCCTTAGCAAAAGTGCAACTTTTCACAAGTAAAGGAACAAACAGCTTCTTTTTCTGGAACATGTTACAGTAGTCAGTGCAGGTTTAAATGATACAAATCCAAACATTCAAAACATAAACAATATGTAAACAAATCAAAGAAACACCACTTGTTTTCTCATATACTTGTTTTCTTCATTATCAAAATAAAAATCTAAAACTCCAGTCCACACTTGACTTGAGCACTGTACAAGTCAACCTTAAAAAATATGTATTTAAAATAAATAGCCACTTTAAACAAATTACTAAAATAACTACTACACTATGTAATCAAATCCAAATGTTCAAGTATAAATGGCATTGAATAAGTAAACAAATCAATGACAAGGAACTAATTGTATATTTCTCTTCATCATCAACAAATAAGATGTTTCATCCAGCAACAGGGTGTCCGTGACACGGTTTAAATGCTGGCAGGGCGCTGCGGCTGCAGTATATAGTGACTCGTTGCATTCTCCGTCAACCAAAAGTCCTCGCGTCATGCATTTAAGCTAAAATGCTCATGTTAACTTACCTTGCACTGGCTGTAGAGACGTGGGTGATGGTCACGCAGATGTGCCATTAGATTCGAAGTGTTGCTGCCTTTTGCAGACACTTGTTTCCTGCACGTTCTGCAAACGGGATAGCAGTCTTCTATTAACTGTCCCTCAGCATTTTTCAGAAATCCAAAATATGCCCATACTTCCGATTTAGTCTTCTTTGAGGGCTGATGGATGTCCTGGGCGCTGCCGTCTCCTCCTTCGGCCATTATTTCAGCTTCAAAGTTTTGGTGCCATTGCAAACTAAAAAGTGCGTGCGTGCGCGCGCCGCGGGAACTTCAGCTGAAGCGACGGTGGCTGGTAAGGGTCACCGCGCTGAAACCGCGGACACGGTAAACCCACCGAGATAATATAGTTTTTTAAAAACTGGACGGTTATTTTTATTGTCAACTTTTTTTACCGGGGTTTACCGCTATACCGGTTACCGTGACAACCCTACTGGCGAGCAAAGGGAATCTCTCCCGGTTGTTGCTCCACCATGTCAGGGGGATTTCTTTAGGGTGGATGCATTCCTCCTGCAGGTAGCGAGTGAGCTCCAGCTCGACTCAAACTCTCTTCAGGACGGTTGCAGAAGCAGTGCTTGTCCGGGACTTCAGCAGGTCTCCGAGCGTTTATTTATTTATTTATTTATTTTTGCCGCTGCAGCTCTGTCTCGGCCAAGGACTGTGGCTGCGCAGGAGCTGACGTACTGAAAACCAAAGGAGCGAAGTAACGTTTCGTTTTGATACCAGTGCAGCCATCCTTCTCAACATGCATCATTGAGTTGAACCAAGTTCAGTAATCGCGGTGGCCCATGATGCAGCGCGGTGGGCTTCTTCATATTGCGATATTTCATTTTTGCGGTTACCGCGACAGCCCTATTCTTTGCTTCATTGTTCTGGTGCTGAACTAATGCGGATCAAAGGAGATACACAGATGAATGCACCTCTCATTATTTGAAAATTAGTGGGTGTGGTTTATATCAATACATTATTTTAAATCTGAAATTGATATGGATTGATCAGAAGTTGTTTATAAACTATTGTTTATTTGAAAACTATTTACAGAGCAGCCTAAATATTTTTGATCACAATAGTAAAAGTATTACAGAACCAAGTTTTTCAGTAAAATCAGAACATTAATATTTAAGTGCATGAATTAATGCATCTGAACTCATGCAGTAGGAACTAGGAAATATGAAATACTAGAACCAGACACAACTTTTTATTTTATTTTAATTTGATTAAACTGATTTTTTCCTAAAGTTGTTGGCATTTTTCCCCACACACAGTTAAACAAAACAATGTTGATTAAGGTGTGTGTGTGTGTGAGAGAGAGAGGGATAGAGAGTTAAAATAATTTTAAAAAACCCAACCGGAGCGGAGGCAGTGACTGATGCATGCACGAGCCGTTTTCAGCTCTGTCTTGTCAAATGCACCACGTACGTTACGAAAAAAGTAACATTAAATATTGAACTGAAAAAGAGGCGAGCTGAAGAAAATGTAGGGAGTACTGAAGAAACGTGAGAGACAGTGAAGCAAGCACAGAGAGATCCGTTACTGTCTGTGTGTGCGCATGGATGCCTGGGCCGAGCAGACTGAGCTCCCGGCTGCAGAGTTTTGTGTGTAGGGAGGGGCGGGTGCTCTATGTGACTGGCCAATCACAGAGCGTGAAGACAGTCAGTTACCCAATGAGGATTTTCCTTCAGCACGATTACAGATATTTATGAGTTTTACACTTGTTTCATGCTCGTATTCCTCCAAAATTCTTTATGCTCATCCCTAGCAGTAACCACCCTGCCCTGCCTCCTCCTCCTTGCTGCCTGCCGGCTGTGATCACAAGCAACAACACGGTAGTTCCCGCTGCTTCTTCTGGAAACTGCGCAAATAAAAAAATCAATTAAACTTGGGATCTTGTAGGCGTGGCGGTGGGATTTCAGCCATGACGGGCCGCCATGGCTACGCCTATGTAAGGGAAACACTGGATGTGCAACAGAACAATACAGCTACAAGAAATTTGTTAGTCATTAACTCCACTTCTGACTGGTAATAAGATGGCGCCTGTGCGCAGCTCTACCGCTGTTATTACCCACTCTTTCAAACTGTTCTCTGCTAACTTTCTTCTTTCCGCCTGCTTTTGACTGTGGTCTTCTTCGGTAGTGTCCACGTTACCATCTTATATGATCGCCAGACTCTTATCCTTCCGATTGTACGTGATTGCCCAAAATGCACCATAGATTCACCTTCCGCTATGTATGCCCTTCATGGTGTGCTGAACCCGAGCCATTAACCCCTAGTTTTGTTTTTCCAAACCTGGCGAAAACTT